GATATGTTTTAAGTTGCATAATTAAAAATTGTTTTCCACAAAAAACCGACTTCAATTGTAGCATAACAAGTGATGTTGATTTAGAAATTAAATTACTAAACCGATTTTAATGAAATATCTATAAGACCAATCTGTAAGTAAAGCTTTTCAGATAAAAGAATAATTTTCCAAATGAGATTGTAACATAACTAAAATAAAAACAAAAAAAAAAGACTACATTGAGAACCTACTTCTTTTTGAATGAGTTGGTTAAAAACATTTTTTTCTATAATAAAATGATCAATATAAATTTCACATGGTCTGCAAATTTCTTCTTTTTTAAGTCGTTTAAAAATAAATAAAAAAGAAATAAGACGTAATGAACGGAAGTGAGAAAGAAGGATTGACAGATCAAGGAATACCAAATAGACAGACAGACAGATAAAAATCATAAAAGAAAAGAAATAAAGGCAGATTAAAAAAGAATGAAAGGGAAGAAGACTGATAACAAGAAAGAAAAATTAGCCGTAAGCGGTTACAAACTTGATTTTTTTTATTAGCCATCCGTACTATTAAATATACTCAACTTAATTTTTATAAAATAAAAAAAAATAATAATAATTGCGGTCCTAATAAAATTCAGAAAAGGTTGACTCAGAAAACTTGGAGTTGTCTCAACTTCTAAACGACCTTCTATTTAGCATTCGTAAGCCGTTTTACTTGCTCATCAATTCCGGTTAAGTAGGCAAGCTTACTGAAAATTTAACTTTTTAGAAAAATAATCCGTTTTCTTTGTAAGTTTGTCATCTCGTCTTGTTTCAGTGCTTATTTTTAAGGACTCTTTTTATGATACTTACAAACAACTTGATGGCCCATCTAATGGAACATTGTGACCGTCGCTTATAGACATAAACAGTACCATGGACACCGCAAATACACTGTGATATCCATATGCTACCATTCTTGAGGACTACAGATGTTATATCTCCGAACCCCGTAATTTCACTGTTACACCCCATCGTTCAAACTGAAATATAGTCATGCAAAAATAGCTGCTTCATAGCAGAAATACGAGTACGACAAAGGTACACAAACAGACGAATTTTGTATAAAAAACCTTTCTCTGGTCTTCTAGAAAAGAAAGAAATTGAATTTAGAAGCACAGTAATAAAAAAAGTAATGATAATGATGGTGAAAACCATCAGGGAAACCCTTCTCTTAACTTATTCTTCGAATGTAAAAAAACATTATAAATTCTATATAAAACGTTATAAAATCTGTGGAAAAAAATTTTAAGGATACAAATCTTATTATAAGAATTGAACAAGAATACTTGTTTCAAGTCACGTATCAAAGATAATGATATCACGTACGCACCAATTGAGAGCATATAAAAGTATTATGCAGGGATATACATATACATATATACATATACACACACACACACACACACATATATATATATATATATATATATATATATATATTTATATATATATAATTTTGACTATTAAAATTAGTTTAATAGTCAAAATTAAATCCAATTAATTACTCTTCTCCATCCTAAGGTTGCTTGGAACAGATCCTAAGGTCGCCCATTGTTTTCTCATTGTGATTATTTCTTGTTATTGTTTAATTTTATAATAAGTTTACTATTGTAATCTTTTGGAGGAAAAAATAAAGAGTATCTATCTATCTACCAGAAATATTTATTTATATACTTTTGTGCACTCACTTATAGTACAGATATTAGGTTATAAAAAAATTTACACAGGCGGACTTATATCTTAAAGGGATTTCTTCTAGTCAATCTTGAGAACCCAAAAGTAGGAAGTGTCTATACGGTTTGTATATAAAACATAACATGTATAGTGTAAAAATAATATGATAAATAATAATAATAAATTTTGTCGGCGAACGGTCTTATCCCAATTAGTCTGGAACAACACCTCAGACGATTGGGATTCCGAGGCGGTTCACTCCCGGTAAAAATGCAGAAAACGGTGCTCTTAGATACTGCCCGCATAGTACGCCGGTTTCTCTCCCTGGGGCCCTGAACTCCGGCCGATTGTACTTCTGCCGGAGGTTTGTTTGCCATCTCTTCTCCTTAAGAGGGGTGATGTGAAATTTAAAAAATTAAAAACATATTAATAATAGAAATTTATTTATAAATTAAAATGTGTCAGCAACGCCAGTTTAAAATTAACTATAATTATAATTAATTATAAAACAATAAAAAAATATATTATATATGTTTAAAGCTTAATACTTGTTTCAAACAAAAAACAAATTTACCTAATAATATAATATTATTTGTATTAATTAATCAACAAAGATATACCCCATAGTAGCACAACACCATATATCTGTATTCTTTAACGTACATTTTGTTTTTAATATCTTAGAAAAAGAATGTATATTAAATGTACATTTCTAGGCGATATTTATTACTTTCCATTAAATAAAGTTATTTTTCAACCCAAGTTAAATAAAAAAAAAATGTTTGCCCAATTGATGAATTTTATCAATAGCTTTGTTAATTTCAGTTCAGGTCACTATTATCGAAACTAGTCCTGCGATTAACTAAATATTTAGCAATCTCGGTTATTGCACGAACCAATAACGCCATTAATTAAAAGATTACCATCGAAACCAGATTGGGCTTTTGGATCAGCTCGTTTAACAGCCACAAGCTCTGAAAATATTGCTGTCCGCAAAGTCAACAGTTCAGCATAATTGAATCGACATAGGTAATGGTTGCGATAAAGGAAGGGGAGCCACCTGGTAGGGGGAGCCACGTGCTACCTGTGCGCAAGCAACGGCAACTGTCGTTCTCTCATTCCTACTAATGGCTTACGTATACATGTGCTTACAGGTAGCGTGGGTGTCATGCGTATCGGAGCGGGCGAGACTGAAGCAACATATGTTCGAAGGCAAAATATATTCCACGTACAGGTCCGTTATTTTGTTTCACAGCGAGATATCGACGACGTAAATGGGCTCCTTGTTACAAGTTTCGTTTTCGATACGGCATTGTGGGTGACGCTTGATAACGAATTCAATCATGGGAAAGTAGGAGGCGTGATAGCTACATAAATTGCTCGGTGCTGACTGTAAAAGGTTTTGCGCTCAGTCAAAATATGTATACATCAAAGAGGATGTTATATGGGTGAACAATTTTTATTATTATCTTGACAACTTCTATAAATGTCAGCTGACAAAAATATCAACATTCGATTCGATTGACAGGCAGCGCAATATTTTAGAAATTTAATACAATAAAATTAACAGTTATGATCGACGTAGATTTATCGGTAATTACATTAATTTCAATTAACGTTGTGCAGATGGTATTAATACTTTTATTACTATTACCCATACTGGACTTGACAGTTCTTTCAAGAACTATAAAATTTCTATTCGATAATCCACAATACCGTAATCTAATATTTAGTATGTCTTGTATATATGGAATTGTTATATTTGGATATGGAATACTGGGTCCCACAAGAACTTTGAATGCTTTAAAACACACCAAAGTATTAAGAAAGTCAGAAATACCCAAGGAAAAGTTGATACGTATTATAGACGCAACTAACGCCACTAGGAACTATTTACTTGCTGGCTTCTCACTATTTTTTATGTTAGTTGCAATGAGATTATTTGATTATATTAAATTTTCAGCAAAACTACACGAATTCTCTAATTTAATGGGAAATTATGATTTAGTAGACGTGACTGTTACAACTGAGGTAGAGCAAGAAAGTGATACCTTTATTATAGATCAACCTATTGAAGAAGACGAAGACGAAGAAACTGATATCCCTGTACAATGGCCATCCGTTGCTAACCTTAATACAATTGAACATAAAAAAATACAATCTTTCTTTAAAGGAAAAACAAAAGTAATTGAAAAGGAAGGCAAAAATATTAGCACATTAGAATCTGCTGAAACTGGTAGAACTAAAGGAAATAAAGAGGTAGATGATAATTCTGACAATAATAAACAGAACGAAGAAAATTAATAGTCGCGTGCAAAAACAATATTCCTACTTACATATGAAATAGTATTTTAACACGATGATCAATATATTCAGCGCTATTTTGGCAATAATTTTGTTTTCAGAATTGCTTTTTGTGATAGCGTTACTAAAGCCCGTTAAAGAACCCTACTACATCAGAGATTTATGGTGCTATTTACAAGATAGTACTAACTATCACTCTAAAATATCGGGAACAGTTATATTAGGGCTCTTCCTAAATACTTTTATGGAAATATCATGGGAGAAAAAATACTACGGATATCTTTTAGAGAATGTACATGATAAGAGTTTAATTTTGGAATTTTATTTAAGCGAATTGTCAGTGTGCTATATATGTTTCTTCGTAGCTCTTTATATGTTGTTATTAATTGAAAAAATAGCTCAATTTCTTATTATCATCGCCAGATTACTGGAGTTCGAACTAATGTGTAGACATGCAATATTAACTAAAGAATGCGCGACACAGTCTTCTAATACGATATTGGTATTATCAAATTTACATGAAGATGGAACAGCTGGTAGCCAAAGAACTAATTAAATCTATGCTTATTTGTAATATAAAGTATTATTCTATAATTTAATTGCATAAAACTTTTTTTTATTTTGTGTAATATTCCAAAATACCTATGCATAATATTAAACACGTGGAAATAATCTCATCTTAGAGTTCCATGAACGGATTTTGATGTTAGCACAAGGATATCTATATACTTAACAAATAAATAACTGTTGTTTACAAATAATAGGACAAAATACTAATTCTAGGTAACAAAAACTGACCCGTTCGAAAGCTAATAGATAAATTGATTATATTATGAATTATATAAAATTCAATCGCAACAAATTTTCATTTGTCATTATGCATAGAATCTGTTATAAACTACGACTAGTGCAACTTATATTTTAAAAAACTTAAATACTGTCAACATTGTCATGTTCTAATTTACAAAAGAAAAATCTTAATTCATAAAAGGAATGTCTAGCAAGCTGTCTTGTCAAAAATTGTCAGTCGATCGAAATGTTATAAAAATATTTCTCTCCAAAGATGTTTTTATTTGAAACAATGCCATAAAAATTGCAATATCTAACAACCGCCAACCTTATCAAAACCAAGAAGATGGACACGTGCTGTGTTATCCTTGCTTGTTTGCTCCTCATTCAGATGGCATTAATTTTGATCATGCTCAACCCTGTGTACGATGTCAAAAAGATCTCTCAGTACCTTGATATTTCAACAAAAACACACAGAAAGCTATACTTCTGCTGCGTTTCGTGTTACTTCATCACTGTTGTTTATCTTGGTATGTATATTCCTCTTCAAAGCATACACAAATTAATTTTTTCAGATAGCCTAAATGAATTTGAGAAAATGATTCTGTTGAGTAGAATTGAAAAGAACTACATCATTGCCGGCTTCTCCCTTTTCCTGGTCGTGGTAATGTACGGTGTAAGAGCATTAGTGTCGTACACAGTAAGCCTTATGGAATTGACTGATAACGAGGTAGTTCTAGAATCAGAATCCAAAGTACAGAAGAAACTGAATACGAATATTTTGGCAAATCTACTCAAAGTGAAGAGATCAGTTTCCTACGAGACAATCCTTTTTACAAACGAGATTCGGGAACAATTAAAGGCCGTTATTCGTAACGTCGAATTCCCTCATAATAAATGTGCCCTGTCAAGTATTTTGGAGTCGCCGGGTATTACCATTTGATATTTCTTGCAAATATTATTCTGCTATTGAAAGATTAAAGTTATTTTAGTTCTGAATGTTCTTAATTATTGCTTTATTATATTACAGTGGTTAAGATTCAAAACATATAGCTGATATGATAGCTGACAAAACGTTGCTTATAAATAAAAGTATGAATCGTGAATCCCATGGACCATGAACACACAGATACACTGTAATGCACATGATTTTTCATGAGTTACTTATTTATTTATTTATACTTTATTTTACATTAAAATTACAGTATTATGATTTATTTTCAATAAAGATATACAACAGGGGAGCTTAACTCTGTAAGAGTTCTCTTTCAGTAAACCCTGAGTGGAAGGGAGCATTAATTACCAGCGGGTTGTGTGCGTATAATAAGAAGAAAATAACAGTATGGTTGTTTCTATTAAAAAATAATAAATATGTTTACCTAAATACAAAGTAACTTATATACTTATATTCAAAATACACACATATCTATATAATAATACATATATGTAAAATATTATCTTTATACAAAATAACACACACAAATATAATAAGTCTATAAGGAGAGAAGATGCTCTTTTAATCTGCTCTTGAAAATATTCAGCGATTGACTTTGATGAATGTACTTATGTTAATTATTATTTTACTAACAAATATCACACGAGTAGTATTTTGCTTGGAAAAATCCTCTAAATTTATCTATTATGATGCTACCTAAGGTTGTAACAATGTTTACCATCGAATATTCTATATTCAACACAATGTGGTAATAATTCTATATGATAGATAATTCATCGCACTTATCAGAGTGTAAACATACTTGACCCTTTCAAGCCCTTCCCATGAGACGAACGTTCCCGGAATACGTGACGTCAAATCCCTTAATCACAATGAGCTAATGTCATTGTTTGTGTTATTGTATAATGTACTTTAAGCTTATAGTCAGAAAGTATACTTGAGAAAAATAGTTATCGTGTATTAAAATGAGTACAATATTTCTAAAGTGCTTTTCTAGTGTAAATTTTCTGATTAAATAATAGTTATAGGTAACATTTTGTATGTGAGAGAGATACTTTTTTAATGAAATTAGAATAGCAACGCTTGCTCCATTCTTTGATACTTGAATGATAGGTGGAGGTTAAAATGACAAAATATTTTTTTATTTTTTAATCTTTTTTTATTTGATACAACTTAGAATGGCAAACAAGCTGACAGCCCACCTGATGGAAAGTGGTAACTGTCGCCTATAAACATGAGCAGTACCATGGACATAACAGAGTATACTGTTTCGCCCATGATACCCCCCATGCGTTGCCATTCCTGAGAACTCAGGTGTTATTCCTCTGTACCCTGTAAATTCACGCCATATCCCACCCTTCAAACTGAAACACAGCCATGCAAACACAACTGCTTCGCGGTTGAAACACGAATCTATAATCATTTAAGGAAATCAGAGAAGAAAAATTTCAAGTTTAACAAGTAAAATTAATGTAATATGAAATGGCAAACAAGCTAACGGTTTACCTGATGAAATGTGGCAACCGTCGCTTATAGATATGGACAGCATCCTTTCATTTTCTATGCCTCTGTACTCTGTAGCATATCTCAACCCTACAAACAGCCATGTACGTATAATTACTTGACTGCAAAGAGAGACTTTACCACAGAGAAACTTCGTACAAGAGTCATCTGCGTGGGCACCTCTGTTCCGTTCCTGTTCCTGTCATGAAATAGCTGTATTTGCATGGCTCTGCTTCAATTTGAAGTATGAGATATGGCTATGAATTTACAGAGCACCAGGTCATAATGTCTTAGTCATCAGGAATGCCAAACAGATGAAACGTATTATAGCGACACAATATACTCTGCTATATTCACGGTACTGTTCATGTCTATAGGCAACAGTTACTACTGTCTATTAGGTGGGCTGTCAGATTTTTTGCCATTCTATGTTGCATAAAAAAACTGCAATGATTGAATGCTAATGATATCGATTTTGAATGAATGAAAACTATTGATCTCTTATTTGTTTGTTTGTTTGTTTTGCATGCAGTTTAGTACATGTGTACGGGTAGATCACAATTACTCGTGTAAACTGGCCACAAATCACAATGTAAAGCATAAAATCCAGTTTTTATCGGCAAAGATAAACAAAACGCGGCAAGAGCAAACTTTTACAGATTAAGTTCTTGCTACAAATCTCGTTGGGGTAAGAAAGACATGCGTATTGTGAATTCTCGTCGTTGGCACAGATTCAAAATGGCGTCGAGGCGCCAGTCGCTATCAGGTAGTTGGCTAGACTGGGAACTGAATTAATGTACGTTTAAATTTAGCGTCCAGCTAAATATAGGATCCTTTTTTCAGGATCTGTAATGAAAATGTCAGCCCGCTTTCATATTATATTTGAACTGCCTTTGTCATCTATGTCATTATTGTAGTTTGTTTTATCTTTAACTAACTTTTTGTCCCTTTTGTACACACGGGTTTCAATAACAATTATAATTAGGTGTGTAATTCATACAAAAAATACAATGAAGAGGTCGTTTTATATCAAGTCTTATTTATTTATTTAATTTCCCAATAGATTTTAATGCTATAGCCAATAGACGGTGTTGTTATAATTTAGATTTCAACATGTTATTACAACAAAATGTAAATACCTTAGCGCTATGATTTCTAAATTGTCCATTAATTATTTAAGGATTTGTTTTTGTATGTCGTGTTAATTGCAACATTATTAAACGTGTCTTGTTTTCGTAATTTAGGAAAATAAAACAAAAATAATTTATTTACTTGTCGTTTCGGTATATTTTTTTGAAGTAACACCGAATGACGACTATACATAAAATATTCAAATAATAATCTCACATACGTGTAATTTAAATATGTTTTATTTAAGGAGAACAACCCTATTGAGATATTATTTTTTGTACAGAACCGTCGACAGGTAACTTCAACTCCCACTTGACAATGTTAAAATATGTTTTAAGACAAAATATGTTTAATAATAGAAAGCTATATCTGTTGCCGAAATATTTTTTATTACACTGTTTTCTCACATTTATTTAAATAAAAAATTTAGCAGAAAAGAAAGAGATAACCATAGTTCAATAGCTAAAATAGGTTTATAAGAGATTTGACGTTTTTACCAATAAGAGGATTAATCTATTTCACTGTATAGTGCTAAATTTGTTAATATTATTGTTTGTTATATATCAACAGCACAAATAAATTGATTATTAAAACATTGACCTAAATAAAGTTTTTGTTTAATAATTTAATTTTGTATGCACGACAATGGAGAGACCGAAGTCCTAAAAACGGCTATACGATATGAGTTCGTTAAATATTAATGATTTTAATTAGAAAGTTTAGGGATCGTTCAAGTTTGATAAAATGTTGCCCGATTAAAATTAAATTCGATAGTTCCAATATTTTTGTCAAATAAGTAGATATTACATAATATAAAAAAAATATGTCAAATTTACAAATAAAGTTTAAAAAAGTACTTTAATCTTAATAATATTCATATACAAAACTAAAAATCGAACTCAATTTGGTGGCTTAATTTCTTACTGCGAAATTTAGCATAATGATATATATTATTTGGGATGAATAATGATATAAGCTACTTTTATCTTGGTCACATGAATGAAGTCACTGGTACAGCTCGTAACTTTGTAATACTCGTTTTTATCTGTGATGTAGTTCACACAACGACATGTTTTTGTTTATATAAAAAAAAAAAATGTCTATATCTTTCTTCATATTATTAATATACTATTTGTGTGTATATCAGCTGCTTAAGCTGTTGGTTGTTAACAAACTTATTTTTATATTTATTATACTAGCTGTATTTTCCATCTTTGTTCAAGTGAATCAGTATATAAAGTAATCTAGGTCTTAATTTAATATACAACCTATTCGCTTAACAAATTACATTCATACTTGTTCAGCACTTTTTGTGTGAAAGAACAATAAACATCCATCCATCTATATGATCCTCACAAACTTTTGCATTTATAATTTAACAAGGATTAGTTTATCTGTGGCTTTCTCTGCCTATAATATAAAGAAAATTATGATATGAACAGATATATTCTCCATACGTTATGAACTCTGTCCTTAAGATTCGGTAGTAGCGATGCAAATACCGCCATAAAATTGTTTTACTGGCAGAAGAAGGCTATTGTATATAGTTCAAAAAGTAGGCCACGATCTTTATTGGCTAACGAAAAAACTACCAACTATTTATGTTATGCGGGACTTGGTTTATATTTTCAGAATTTAGTTTTCTAGGACTTCGTGGTGTTATGTATCGATTTTAGATTTTTCATTTTATTTTATATATGAAGTGATTCTAAATTCATTCGAATATTTTTCAAGAATAAAAGCAATCGTGTGTCATACTCTATTGTAATAATTTATATTGACTTTACGCACGTTTCAAAAATATGGGATGCCTGACTAAATTTGAATTCGATAGAAGCCGTTGTTCACAAGTATGCATATTTTCTTATGTGTTAAATTTATTTAAAACTGATTATTTAATAATACTAAAATCTATCATTACACACAAATAATAATAATACTTTAATTAGTCTTCTTTAACCGACTTTAAAAAATAGGAAGTTTTATGTTCGTTTCTATGTATCCATAAATAAGGCATTTTTTTTAATTAGGGATTATTAAATTATATTAATGCTGCCACTTTTATTATACAAATCGAATTGAATTTTTATAAATCTATATTCAATATTATTTTACACTATCGTAGAGTGTAAATAATGTAGCAAATCAGCCAAGAGTTGGCTTACTGTTCATTGAAACGGTTTGAATCTCAATGCTCTATATAGGTATACCTATATGATCTAAGCATAACAAACACGCTTAGTATTCACAATAACGTGTCAAATAGACTACTTTACTTGATCGTATTAACTATTTTTCGACTGTGTGATCCCGCCACCCCTTCCTTTCTCGTAGGTGTTTTAAGAGCCGACTAAGTATGGATGAGGGATAGGCAGCAGCGTCTCTCTTAAAACATCTTTAAAGCCTGTCTGCGGTTGTCAATCCGAAAGTAAATTGGCAACTATAGTTACGCTTTGGCGATGTTCTAAGAGGGATGCTACTTTTTTTTATACAACTTAGAATGACTAACAAGCTGACGGCCCACTTGATAGAAAGTGGTAACCGTCGCCTATAGATATGAGTAGTACCATGGACATAACAGAGTATACTGTTTCGCCCATGATACCCCCCATGCGTTGCCATTCCTGAGGACTCAGGTGTTATTCCTCTGTACCCAGTAAATTCACGCCATATCCCACCCTTCAAACCGCAACACAGCCATGCAAACACAACTTACGGTTAAAACACGAATGGGACAGAGGTATCCAAGCAATCGACTTTTGTACAAAGTCTCCCTCTGGTAAGACTACTGCGCTTTTCTCGACCATTAAATTCTCTTAGTTGCCTTTTAAGATATCCACAGGAAAGTTTGGCCTATTCCATGTCGTGACCACATAGCATACATATATATAGACGCGATATGTAGAAATATACATAGAAACTGTTTATCCCCACTGACCATAAAGTACAAGCAACTAACGGAACCGATCAATGTGAGAGGCATATTTCCTTTGTATCAAAATACAGTTTCTCTTCAAATAACTCTGGCTATTTCAAATAGTTCGCAGCGACCGTTGATAATAACGGTTATGCGGCCGTTGACAGTAACTGCTCCGTGGTTATCTGTATTTAGAACGGTCGCAGACGTTATGTTTGCAATGCCAGTGATGCCCCGCATAGTAACGTTATATTAGTGAAACGTTATTCCCGCTGAGGCAGTGTTATTTGAATTGATTTTGTGTTATAGCTACATATTTGACTATTTAGTTGTTGTTTGTATGACTATTTAGTTGTTGTTTGTATGAGATTTACCCGATATCGTCACAGATTCTGAATTAAGTTTGATAGTTTTTTTTTTTTTACTATAACGCAATACTTTCTCCAATTTCTATTCCTTATTAATTAACGATTCTTTTTTGTAATTCTTTAACTTTCATGTCTCTTTCGTAGCATAATTTCTATATAAACACTCATTGACTATTCCTTGTAAATACTTAAACTTTATGGCA